CATGCTGACAAAATATTACACAGAATCATAGTAAAGCATGTAAAGTTCAATTTAAATCCTTGAAATGGGTGTCAAATGGTTTTTTTCTATCAAAAAAATCAAAAATTGAGTTAAGCCGAAAAAATCGGCTTCGAAAATCTCTGGAAAAATCTATCAATTTCCCTTGAAATTAATTTACATAAATATTCATTTACCTTTGTCTAGCTTAAAATCACAATACGTTACATTGCTGATTAATTCCATATTTTCAATCACTTCTTTTCCTTTCATCGCAATAAGATTATAAAAATAAAAAAAGTAATGAGCATAGAGTGAGACAGAGACACAAAACGAGAGTGAATAAGATGAAATAAGAAGATAATTGATGACAGCTAACCAACAGCTCATTAACAACTTGTTAGAGGCAATTAAAACTCATCCGAGCGATAATTAATTCCCTTGAAAATACTGTGACGACGACAACACGATGTTGACGTTGTTTTTTTTCCCTCAAAAGTCTACATTTTTTTCTTTCCATTTTTGTTTAAATTTTGTTTTTCTTCTTCTTTGACTTACTTTCTCCTGTGGTGTGTTCTGTATTATCTTCTATTTTTAATGCACATCACGGTTATCTCATACACATTTTAATGATGAATAATTTTTTTTTTCTTGAGCTCTTATAATCATTTTGTGTGCTAGTCATGTCATCGCAAAGTGTAAAATGTAGAATAAACATTCTTACATTAAATCTCATAATGAATTTTGTCAAATTTGCCAATTCTGAGTTTAAAAAATATTTAATAGGCGGCTCATGTTTATCCTATTAATATCCATATTGCAATGATTATTCCTGATTAACATTAGTCTTCAAATTTCATTTTGGGTTAATAAGCAACAAATTGAGCATTATTAATTTGAAAGTGAGTCAATTTGGTATGTTCAGATTTACATATGATATAAATCCTTTACATCACTTTAAAGCATAGCACGAGAAGATGAGTAATTTCCACGTAAAAATGAGGAAGAAAAAAAATCGAGGATAAAGGCAGAAAGAGACCCATTAATCATAAATTAGTAAATCTTCATACACAATTCACAAAATTTATGACTACGATATGCGCCCTTCTGAATGTAATTTAATGTAATTTATATTATCTGCTGGATTCGTGTATATACAAACATTTTCAGCGATATTATGTTGAGCCATTAATGCCAATCATGTACAGCATTCATACGCACAAATATTTCAGTGCCTTTATTAAATTTTCACAAAACATACTGATAAATTAGCAATTTCAGTACAAATGACAAAATAGATACATTTGCTTAATATGCTGATTGCATAAATTCCGAACATAGTTTTAAATTCAATTAACACACAACAAGTTTAAAATAGCGGAGATGTAATAAATCCTGTGACAAATTATGTCATACGAAATGCTGATGATGTGTATGCGTTCATCATTGTATTTAAATACAAAATATTAGAATGAAAATTCTTATTTATCGTCTAACTGCGACATTTATTTAGTACATTACATTTTCATCAAAAATTTAAGGTTAATAAAAACTCCTTAAGGATTGATTTGGATGACAAAAGCTTTTAAACTCAAAAATAAAAACATGATCTACACATACTTTAACCCACTCAAGTTTTAGAAAATAATTTAACTCAACCTTAGAAAATAATTTAACTCAACCTTAGAAAAAGTGATTTCCCTCCCCCTGGTAATAATCTTTAAATAAATGACTTAACTTTTATATTTGAAAAAGAAAGCCCACATATACTTTTGATATGAAAGGTATATAAGCAGCATGAGGCCCACGACATGTAAAAAAGGCCTCGCCTGATGTCTTTAATAAAAGTGAACATTTCGCGAGAATAATATGTGCCGCGGGAGAACATTACAGCATAGATAAAGTGCTTTACTTTACTTACTTATTTTGCATTCAGGCAGGAAAATGATGTAGGAAAAGACACATGTGGTGGTGTTTTCAATGAAAACGCGGCTGAAAAAAGTATTCATTGACATAGATACAAGAGTATTAAGGCATTGTAGAAGCATGCAAGCTTAATCAACTTGAAATATTATTTGGATAGTTTTAATCAAAATTGACACAACAGGTAAGTTAAATATCGAAAAAAAATACAATGATGTGCAAAAAAAATTCAGCCACAAAATCACCATTAGTCTCCCCATTTTGACAAAAAGAACAAAAAGTATTGTGAATTTTTATATCATCATTATGTCGAGATATACACACAAATGGATGAAAAACCTTTATACATCACATTATGATCGCATTATATATAATAATACAATATGATTTTCGACAAAAATAGGCTCTTTCCTCTTACGTTGGCTTTTGTCACATTTATTTTATCACTTTTACAATAATATTATACCGCGTGCAAGCCATTTCAGTGGTGTTGTATACATCCTCATACATAGGTAGACGATATCAATGCATTGTATTATGAGAGTGTATGACAAAAGGCACAGGAAAAAAAAAGTTATGATTATTTGAAATGGAATTCTGAAATAAAAATGGCATTGAGTATGTTGAGATAGAAACAAACAAAAAACGATTTATTTTTATGACCTTTTTGGGGATACATATGTATCTATGGTGGATATGATTGTAAATAAATGAGTGAGTGGGTCAATAAGATAAATTGAATGGAGCAATAAAAACATTATTTTTTAATGTCATTTTATCATTTCTATACACATTTTTAAATTAAAAAAATGGCACATTAGAAGCCATTCTTATATTGCGGAAAGCTTAAAAAGGAATTGATAGACCCAAACTAGGGGTTCCAGAATTCCCGTTCCCGTAAGATTTCGGGAATCGGGAACGGGAACGGGAATGATGTCCGGGAACGGGAATATTCCCGGGAATCAACAAAGAAAAAAAAAAGTTTAAAGCTACACTTACACCATGTATTTTATTTAGGTTTTTAAATCAAATTTAAATTCTATTTCATTTGATTGTCAAATTGATTCTGTTGACAATAATTTCCGTTTAAAATTCAATACTTTTTGGTTTTAGAACAAATCTTAAAGTACGATTTTAAAAAACTGATTGCATTAACGTGCTAGTCTAGCAATCTAGTGCGATATATTATTGGAGATTGAAAAGTTACGTTCAGCTCTTGTAGATGTTGGTGGAATTGATAAAATATAATCTGATAGATTCAAAAGGCATGGTGATTTATGCTGAAACTTGTCGTAATAATCAAAATCTTTACGAATCGTGTCAAATTTATCATTTGTAAGCTTTGAAATTGTAGGTGATGCCATTAATTCTTCAAGATTCAGTTTCAGTCGTTCAAATTATTTTAATCCGATGTCAATTAAGTTTATTATTTTGTGGACATCATACATTTAAAAAAATATTTTTAAATACTTTTTCTCTTCGTTTTTCATAAATATCGGCCTGTTTCACTAAAGTGGATTATCCTCATTTTCGGATTATCTACCTCATTTTTTTGGATTATCCATAGATAATCCATAGATAATCTAGAAGATAATCTTTTTTTGGTGGATTATCTACATCTATTTCACTAAGAAAGATTATCCAGGATTATGCAGGATTATCTAATCCATAGATTATTTTTTTAAAGTTTTAAAAAAAAAATTAACAATTTATGTATTGAATATTGTGACAATTTATTATACTAAAATTTTAGTACAAATTAACAAAGAAACGAAGTTAATTGTTCGTATTTTCTCTAAATAAATGATTAGCAATTCGATTACGATATGCAATAGCTCGCCTGTTATTGCTTTGGATACCTCTTAAATCCTCATTGACGTCTATTGCTCTCTGAATATTTAATTCAACCTCGGGATCATTATCGTCTGGTAGTGCATCTCGATTGTTGATGCAAATGTTGTGTAAGACCGCACATGCAACTATTACGGGCATTGTTGTTTGAATTTTTGTTCTTAATCCAAATTGCAAACATGGGAATCGATTCTTCCAAACACCAAATAACCTCTCAACTGAATTTCTTGTTTTTATGTGGCAAAGATTAAAGTACCTTTCCTCATCAGTTAATGGATTTCTAAAAGGAGTTAGCATAAAGGTTTCCAATTTATAGCCAGCATCTCCAAGCAACGTTCCAGGATAAAATTCCCCCCTCTCCATTCTGTTTTTGATATTCGAGTTATCAAAAATAAAAGCATCATGGGTACTTCCTGGCCATCTTGCAACTATATTCTGTATCTTCAAATCATAATTGCCAACAACCTGTATGTTTAATGAAAAATATTGTTTTCTATTGCGATATATTTCACGATTGGGTCCAACTGGACCAGTAATTCTGATGTGCGTGCCGTCTATACATCCAACGACAGTAGACTTCAGGCTAATAGAATGGAATCCAACGAAGTTGTTTCTGAGTTCGTCGTTGTTCCTCGGCATAAAGATGTATTCACTTCTAAATTTTGCTATTGCTAAACATGTCTGACGAATTACTCTTGTTACTGATGCTGAGCTGATTCCGCAAAAATCTCCTACAACTGTATTGAAAGATCCAGTCGCAAAAAACCTTAGTGTGGCATATAATTTAACATCAGCACTAATTGCATGAGATCTACGAAATTTATAATTTAAATATCACCTAGGACATAAATTATTATTGATGATAGTCACCTCAAAGTAGATGGCTCAATTTCACTTCTTATCTTATTCAACAATTCCTGAAAGCTTGTCTTACTAATTCGAAATCGCCTTAAAAACTCTTGTTCATTTAGAAGTTCTAAATAATTTTGCCTTTCGCGAAACACTCTCGGATCATTTGATTCAACTTGAGAATCAAAATTACTGTCGAATGAGCTATCACTCAATAAACTCATTCTAATTTAACAAAGAAAAAAAAACAACAAAGGTATTTACAAAATAAGTAACGTATTTAGAAAATTTCAATTGATTTGGTCATTCAGTCATATAAAATTTTATCGCTCGGCATATTTATTATTTTGTTTGTAAAAGTTTTTGCGTTCAGAGTCATAATGAGTGACCAAAAAACTGCTACAAAGGCTTCTTTTTCAGCGGAAGATTCTGAAGTTTTAGCAACAGCAATAAAGAAGCACGCTAAGGGTTTAGCTTCAATAAACAAGGAGGTAATTAATCATTAATAATATAATCAAATTTTAAAAATATTTATTTAATCCTTAGTCAATGAAGTTAGTTTTTCATCGACTTGTTTAATTTCAAAAAATTACAGTTATAAAAATTGTTTGCTGAAAATTAAATTTTATTTAATTTTGGCATTAATAATTCCTTTTTAAACTTCTAGACATGGAAAAAGATAGCATCTGACTTTAATGCTTCACAAACAGGAGGCCCCAAGACTCAAAAACAATTGGCAAACAAGCACAAAAACGACAAAGCCAGCATTAAGAAAGTGTTAAGTTTAAATGTACGTGAAATGAAGAAAACTGGAGGAGGCACAGCAAATTTAATTTCAGAAGAGAATCGTGACTTATACAATTTTGATAATAGGCAAATAGAAGGTTTAATTAACAGCGTCGATGATGATTCTCCAGATATTAAAGTTGATGATCCAATGGGACATCCTTCAACTTCAGGTGTTAAAACTGAGATTGATCAGAAGAATCGTAAACGGAAAATGAGCGAGAGTGGTGGATCAGATTATTTTGAACTGAAGAAGCGACACTTGAGTGTAATGACTTCTTATTATGAGAAGAAAACGGCTTTCATTGATTTGAAGATTAATCAAATCATGAAGAAGACAACTCAGCTCAAGAAAAAAATAATTGAAGACTCGGAAACTTCTTCTTTAAGCGAGTAGCCTATCGTGTATCATTCTTTTCATTAAATAAATAAAAAAAAAAAATTTTTTTCTCTGTTTGAGTTTTTTTATACATATAAGTCACTCATTACTTAGTATCTTCATTTATTTACCTATATAAATATTTTTTTTGCATATGAAATAATCGTTTGAGTAAAATTTTGTTCAAAAGTTCTGCAATGATCAAAAATAAGCGATTATGGTAGTTAAAATGACAACTCCATGCTATATTAAAAGATTTGTCAAAATAAATTAAAAAAAAGTTTAGGATAATCTCAGGATAATCCACTGTTAATCGTGGTCCCCCCCTAGATTGACATTTCAGATTATCTACTTGGTAGATAATCCTAAGATTAGGATTATCTTTTTTAATGAAATCGGATCATCTAAATCCAAAAAATGTCATACTAAAAAACAGCACTTACAAGCAATTTTGAACATTTAAAAAAATTGAATTATCTTAGTGGATTATCCAATCCCAAGATTATCCGAAAAATCGGATGTAGATTATCCACTTTAGTGAAACAGGCCGATTCCCGTTCCCGGGAATTCCCGGGAATATTCCCGATTTTAGAACCCCTACCCAAACAAAACCTACAATCAAAAACAGTTATGAGAATTAAGGACTCCTTCTATATGAAAACAGGGAATTAATACATTTATAATAAGAAACTTTGTGCTCATCATTATAATTAAAAGTTCTTAATTAAAAATTCACAATTTTTCAGCCTACTCTTAGTAAAATAGTTACTTTTAATCTTATTTACAATTAATAAGGCATTCATTTTGGAACAAAAATCACATAAAAACTCAATAACACGACAAAAACTTTCGAGACGTTATTCGATCGATAATAATTAATTATGAATACAAAATAATTCCATTTTTGCTATATGCTGAATGAAGGAAAAATTTAATACTTCAACGATGAAAAATCTGCTCGATACTTTTTCAATTAAATTTTCTGCCAAAGCGAATATTTTTCTAATAGAATCTTACGCAAATTTCAGTCGATTCTTATACTTTATTGTGTTTGGAGGCTTAAAGAGTGTCATGAAGTTTTAAGTGAAATATTCGCAAGGAAATCATTTCAAATCTAAATGAATAATTTAAAGAAATATTCTTGCTTAAAGGAAACATAATAGATGAGAATTTTTATCGCTAATATAACATTGATTTTTTTTTCTCAAAATTTCTACTCAAATCACTACAGACAAATGCCACATTTGTAGTAAAATTAATGAAAAAATTTGTGAACAAAATCCTTAACATAGACAGATAAAAACAGCAATGTCATGAATGATTTTCCACAAGCACATCAGGGCTTCATGGTTTTGCGGATGACGATGAACAAAATGTGGGGTGATGGTGAGAAAAAATCCATTGTTAAACATGACGTTGTACCATCAAACTCAATATTTAATATAGGTTAACATTGTTCACTCTAATCTCTTTCCCGTGATATACATTTTAAGCTCTCTTTGTATTTTTGTTGAGTTTAATATAACATTGGGGAAAATATGGTAAGATAAAAAAAATGGAGGACGGAAAGTATTTTTAATTCAAATATTCAGATAAATGGATATCTTTAAAATTGAAATAGAATTTTATTTTATCTGATAAAATTTTTTATATTTCAGGATTTAATTTTACAAAAAAGCTAGCCCAATGTTTTTCTATAACATTAAATTTTAATTTTAAATTATTTCTCATTGAGTTAAGAATCTTTTTCTTTATACTTTATTGCACTAACTTGCAGAATTATTTAAAATTTTAAATAATATTATAGGTTTTTGGTTTATGAACTCGTTTTAATTTTAAAAAAAATCTCCCCTTATAAGTCACAACAAATGAGAAAACAAAAAACGTATTTCAGAGAGCTTAAAAATTTCCACGAAAAATAAAACAAATGCAAGAAGCATGGTTCTAGATAATGTTGGTGGTAATATCAAATAAACTTCGGCTTGTGATAATATTATTCTCGTTCGCAGTATTTTCTTACATTTTTACTTTATTTGCTATTAGCATATTCACATCGTATCTTACGGCTTATCGTCATTTCTACAGGGTAGATTAAGGTAAATACGTGAATTTTTGCTAAGTAACGCTATCTTCAACATTTTTGTGCTTTTACGAAAAAAATTTATCTATTCGCATGTTATGGTGGAAATGGATTAAAGAAAAAGGAACTTTTTCCGTTCTTAAAATAATATTTACAGCCGAAAGAGGTCAACTGTAAATCGATGATTCTTCGTTCTTTGATTTTCATTTTAATTATAAATCCTTCTATATCGACAGCATTTCTAGTTCAAGCCATATAAAAATCATATACTTTCCCAGGAATATTAAAAAAAGTGAGATAAATATTAAAAGATCTCATATCTTACCAAAATATATCTGATTAAGCAAAGCGGAATAAGCAAACGATCATAAATTTACTTATAAAGAAAACATACAATTTTTATTTTTCTTTATTTTGCAAATTGAAATTAAACAATCTCGTATAAATTACTTAAAGCACGCGCAAATGATGCGAACGGAAAAGGCAAGAAAAAAGAGCAAAAAGTTAAAATAAATTGATTTACTTTATGTTATTTAATTTCTTGCGTTCTTTCAGTTTTTACTTTTTTATTCCTTTTATTTGAAGTCTCATAAATGTAATTTACGTTCTTTTATAAGTTACGTGTGTGTATGTTGTATTTATAATATGAATCATGCTGTGTGATATATTCCGAGATTTACGATTTTGAAATAAAAGAACATATTTTTATTATTTCTCAATTGTACCTTATGTGAATTTCTTTAGATGATTCTTTTGGGCTTTAGAGAAGGTGTGCATTTCAGAGACTTAACTTATCCTTCTTAAAAGATCTCAAATAATGCAAAAAAAGTCAAATAAATCTATAAAAGAAATTTAATAAATCTTAATTTTTTTAGAACGTTTGAAAAGTTCATGTTACTCAAGTGTCCATCCCATGTTTTAAAGATCCTAAAGATCTAAGACACCAATTGAATACTCCGTATATGGAAGTAAAGAAAGAAAGATTTAATGATGCTCCATGACATTTATGTGAATAAAATTTGCAAGACGTGATAAATTATGTTAGAAGTTAAAATCATATTTTACATCGTCGTCTGTAAAAAGGTACGTAAAAAGAGTTCTTAGGCGTAAACATATTTGAGCACAAACCGCGTGCAATGCTTTTTGACCTCAAATGTCGCATTACTTGCCTTATGATCATTTGTCAAATGGAAACAAATGCTTGAAAATTATATATTACCTTAAATTTTTCACGGAGTAAAATAATTTCCGATCTCAACAGGAAGAAGTTAAATTTGTTCAGCATTGGTGTTAAAATCGAGCCTAATGAGCAGTAATAAGATTCCTAATGACCATCGTCCTATCCTATTTCTTGCTAAATTCGCGTTTGTAATTTTCATCATGAATTTATGTATAAATTTTCTAAATGACGTCAATGGTTCGTACACTATCAAGGCGTGTAAACTATCCCAAATATCATATTTATCCCACATATCCCAAAAATATTCAAAAAATTCCTGAGCATGTATGCACGATAGTAAAGATATCTCAACGTATCCTCAGTGTATTGGACGTGAAATTTCAGGATATGATGGGATATCTCAATTTTAATGCATACAGGCTCAGGAATTATTTTGAATATTTTTGGGATATATGGGATAAATGGAATATTTGGGATAGTTTCCACGCCTTGTACACTATTGATGTCTATCACTAAGTGGAGAAAAAAATCTAATTTTTATAAATGAACAACCTCTCCAGTTACCAAGTTTCATCCAAAAATTTATTCTAGATTAACTAATATTTACTTACAAGTAAGTGCACAAGACAAATTGGCATCAACTTTGTAAGAAATCAATATATAAAGTAGTGCAATATAAAAAAAAAATCTTTCGAAGTGTAACAATCTATACCTAAAAAGATCGAATAGCCAGGCATCTCCTGTGACATAAAAATAAACATAAACTATCAACTTATTGATTCCCATTTGCTATTCTTTGCAGAAAATGAACTTATGTCTACGTAGATGTCTATATTAAGATGAAAAAAGAAAATAAACATCATCCCATTCCATTTCTTATGGATATTCTTTTTTATGTTATTTATATAAACATACCGCCTGTACGATTTAGTATGATAATACATTTTAGTCAAGAGTGTAGTACTCCAGAGTCACGGATAGAAAAAATACAGAACGCAATGTGTAAAAGAGAAAGATGAGGGAAAAAAGTGTCAAAACAAGCTAATACATTTTAATAGACATTTTCTTTTTGCGTTTATTGGATTTTTACTGACTTAATGTCCTCTTTATTATCTCAAGATGAAGTTAAGTCTCTTTTTTGCAAAAAAATTGTTGCTAAAATATTTTCAATTTGTCCTTTTAAGTTCTTAGGTCTTTATTTAAATGAGGATCGATTATTTGTGATAGAATTGTTTTGTCCCTGTTTTTGTTTATTTACCATGGCCAGCATGGATCATTTTTTTATCTAATTTATTTTTATTTTTGTGCGAAGTTGTTAGACATAAGTCCCGATCTTCGATGAGAAAATGAGTAACATTTAGTACATTATTAAAAAAACTAATCTATAAAATGCGTTATTTTCATCAAATTCAAAACCAATTCTTAAACTTTTCTTGCCTTACTTCTGCCAATGCAGTGGTTTCACTTCTTGCTTATCAAGCATTAAAGAAAGTACAACAGAAAAGATAAAAAAAGAAAGACTGTCCCAAGTTACTGAAAGCACAAAAATCACTACTGTGTGTTTGTGTGTCTTTGTCTTTATATTATATTATTTTCATTCTGTTTTTGTATGATACAGACTTCGACATATATACAGCTCGACGGCTTCTTCTTTATACATAAATGAGCAAACAATAAAATAACGATAAACTTAATAAGATTCATGTCGTGATGTGCATATAAATCAGATCCTCATTGCCTTTCCTTTCCCCTCATACT